CCTGCTGAATATCTGAAGCAACAGAAAATCCAAAGAAGTTTACATAGACTTTTAAGAATATTTAGAGTAACAAAGATGTCAAAATGTTCTACTGTTTTGATTCTCCGCAAACTTTTTAGCAGTCGAGGTTTAAATAGAGTATTTCTGTCTTGAGATGTATTATACTGGTAAGCGTTATTTTAAAAACCTGTAAAAGAAAGTAACGGCAAACAAAAATAAAAGCTATGCGGAGAAAATCTTTGAAAAAGATATCTATGTCTGTTCGTTCTTAAAGAAATAAATTGGAGGAATTGATGGGGTCTTAAGGGAGCTGTTTGCAGGCTTTCAATTACTTGCTGAAGCTCCTGTCTAACGAAGTACTTAAGCACGTCCCTGAATAACTTCTAGCATGCACCGTGGTATCCCTACGGGCAGTGAGACTGTTTCTGTTTACCAGGAAGCACGTATTTAGCTGGTTGGTATTTACCTGGTTGATCCTCAGTGGCTCCTCACAGCATGGGAGTGTATCATGAAGGGCAAAGGATAGCACGGGATAACGAGAACAAACCAGAAAAGTGAAGTGAGGTGCATGAGCTCTGTTTGTTTCTGTCTGTTCCCAGTAGTGCTGATCCAAAAACCTAGAGCTGGCTGAATTTCTTCGATGTCATAGGCACGTCCAGTGTATCAACACCTTTTTTCCCTAGGCTAGGAGAAAAAGCTGAAAACCTCACTCGGGATGATAAAATACTATCTCAAACCTGCTTGGTATTGTACATGTTTTGGCATCATTGATTACTATCTCAACATTCCTGGTGTAGCTTTATCCCAATTTTGGCAATCGAGCATTCCATCCCAATGAGGCTTATGTCTGAACACTTGTTTCCTCAGGAACAGTCACATTGCTTCTCAAGAAAATGCTTTTTTCCCCCCTGACATTTTCACATACGTCCTCTTTCTAAATTACCTTTTTCTTCTTTTACTGCTTCGCATCTTGACAGACGCAGATCAAACGTGGAGAGAGACACCAGCAATTTTTACTCAAATCCTGGCAGTTCACCCAAATGCCGGTCACCAGCCCTCTGTCCCTTCTGCGCTGTTGCTAGTACTGGCTTTAGCAGCTCCTACCCTAAGCCCAAACCTGGTCACCCAGGGTTAGAGTTATGTCACGGTGCTATCTCTGTCCTTGAGCTACCAGTGCCAAGTGTCAGTGCCCTGAATTGCCCCTCCATCCCTTTTACACTCGTGCTTCTCATTTTCCACTTGCCTGCTCCGATCATTTCCCCAAATCTCGGTGCCTACGTTGAGGCGCTGCCCTGGGACACAGGCAGCGAGCGGGTGACCGGCAGAGGGGGTCAGACTGCAATAAATCTCAGGAGGATGCCGGCTTTTCGAAGGATTTTAAGGTATGGCTTTTGCTTTTTCTGTAGCAATGACACAGACTCAGACTCCCAGCCATGTACTTTGGCCTGATGCAGGTCAGACCTTCCCTATCCCGAGCAGCCAGGGACCAATTTACCCCTAAGCACAAATTACATCATATATTTTCTGACCAAGTTTTCATTTTGCTTGTAATTTACAGCATTATTTATGTTACTGCTGCATTTAGCCTTTGGAATCGTAAGAGGTTTCAATCCTATCTCAGTTTTATGGTTTAATACAGAAGTAGCTCAAATGGCTGATAATTAGATACAGTTACACTTTGGACGAGGTCCAATATTACATTGATATGTATTGGATAAGGACACCAAAATAAATTTTCAAAGGGGACAGTAGGGGTTTGGCACAATTCATACCCAAACTCATGCAGCATCTGAATGGGCACTCATTAGAAATGGATCGGAAAGGACAAAGTCATACTTTGGGGGGCAAATCTCCCTGAATATACATTTTTTGAAACCTTCACAAGCTTATCAATTCGGGCCAGCTTAGGAACCAGCCCAGCCTGCTTTCCAGGAGCACCACTGCTCCGATGGAGCATAGCACTCCCTGTTCCCTCATCTACTCAAACCCGCTCAGCCCCAGAGCGCTCTGCTCCCTGGGCTTGCTCCTTTTGCTTCTCCCCCATTTTTGGCAGACCCTTTGCCTCCCTTTTCCAAGAAGCTGGGTCTTCCCTTGGGCTTTGTCTCCTGTTCACCCAGAGTACATTTGGACTACACCTCTCCCTGTCCATGGCACATCATTTTCCAGCTAGCAGGGATGTTTCCACGCTGCTAGCTGTGGTCACAGAGGGCATCACCTACCGACTGATGCCAGCTCCTTTCATAGGAAAGAACATTGTTTTGCCCGGGAAAAGTTATTTTTGGTGCAGAAAAAAGAGACTGGCCACAAGGGTTACAGATTCCAGATTCCCAAACTATTTCAGCTCTGCAAGTCAGGGTGTCTGGAAGGCTGCTGGAATAACGGACTGCTGGCTCAGCTATTCCCAGCCATGCAGCCACATCCCCTTCCTCACTCAAACAGCCTCTCTCCTCCACCTGTTCCCCTCACGGTTCCTCTTCACCTCTCCCTGCCTTCTTCCCTCTTGCTGCAGGACCATTTGGAGCTCCAGCACTGCCAGCCTCCTCCAAAATCTCAGTGCTGGGGCTGGGGGTGAGGATGGGGGGCAGAGGCATGGAGCACGGTGCATCCAGCAGTGCTGCCTCTGCCTGCCTCTCACCCCGCAGAACGCAGCCTGCGAGCCCCACTGCTGCTTCTCTTCCCCGCTTCCGCCTCTCTTCGCTTCCCCTTAATGAGGCTCCGCTGGCGAGCAGAGGAAGCTGAAGGGAAATAAAAAGATTCCTGACAAAAGGAATGTAAACAGGCAAGATGCAGGTGAACAAAGGAAGGAAAGAAAACCCGTGTACAAGCCAGCAGTCGAGTGGTTATACTCAGTAATCAACTCCTCAGATTGATTTTAAGACACAGCGGAAGAGATCAATAATTCTTCGCAGCAGCACAATGCACAGCCGGGGTTTCAAATGTTTTGATCATCAAAGCCCTTATTCAGGGATCAGTTCTGTGCTCACTCCGTAAGCGGAGGTGCTCCTGCACTTGGCACGCCGCTGATGGGAAGGGGAAGAGAGCGGAGAAGGGAATGGTGGAAAAAAATGTTCTAAAATGACACTTAGGCAGATGGCCACACGGGTCTAGGTGGGGCAGCGTGGAAAAATCTGGGGAAGGAAACGCTGACGGGCCCCTGTGAGGCTGGAAAATGAAGGTACTACGCTTATGCAGAGGGGGTTTTGTCGCTGGCGTTATTTCGTAAGGACATGTCGTATACCTTTGTTCTGCTGCGGAGATGCAGACCGAGCTATTCCTGCCTGCACAGGAGTCAATGGGTCCCTTCATCCCTGCTGCACCAGCACAAACAGGGAGTGCTTAGTGGGTACATAACGGCACGGAACCCAAACGCTGCCATTTATCACCCTCTTTGTACTGAATTAAATCCCTACGTGAAATGCGCTGAAGAATCGAACCTTTATTGTTTTGTTGGTGAAAGGATTGGGTCCCAGAATTACATCAGTTGTTTTCTCTAAACAGCTATTAGCCTCCTCCATTATACTAACAGAACTGGTTTCCATCCTCTGGCTCATTTATTCCAAACCAGCATTATTGAAGTGAATGGGGTCTAGGCCCTGGATATTAGAAGAGCTGTTGGTCTACTCATAAATAACAAGTTGTCAAGGATTTTAATGGAAACCCTTAGAGTGCTGTAAATCTGTGCAGTTCTGCCTGCATCCCCTCCCTCATTTCCATCACAATATCACTCCGGTGGGACTGCGGCTTGCAGCATGTGCCAGGCAGCCTAGATTGGTAGGACACGGGGGAAGGAGGGGGAAAAAATAAAAAAATCTGGCGATGGGGTGGGGGATTCAGAACAGTTGGTACTGCGGAAGCATCTGCTGGGTGGCCGGTTTCGGAGTCACCTGGCCTATTCAGCGTGGCGAGGGGAAAGCGCTATTCATCCAGGGGGGCTGGAGAGGGGAATAACAGAACCAGGGATGCTTGTGGAATAAAGACGGATGTATTGCAGTTTACATTTCGCTCCGTTGGTCTGTGAAGCAGTAAATCTCGGCAAGTAGAGGGTTTTGTTAGGTTTTGATCGCAGTTTAAGTGGCGGAGCTAGTGCAGGGGTACTGCATAGACCGGCCCTTGCTGTTAGTCAGAGAGGGCTTTCTGTTCCAAGATTAATCTTTTTAATCCCCCTAGCCGGTCCAAACTACCTCCAGGGTATTTGGCACCACGTCCTGATCCAAACAGCAATGTTTCTGTAGTTCACTGGATCTGGTCAGAAACTGGGCTACTACAGAGTATGCCCCCCTGACCTGCACTTAGCCATCCCCCAAATATCTGTAGCTCAGGCGCCTGCTCAGACCACAGCACCCCGCTCTATACAACACTGAAGCCTTCCAGGGAGGAACTCGTCCATTCTCCGCTGGCTATCTGATATTACAGAATGCATTACGGATGGCACAGCCACCCCGCTCCCAAAGCGGGCAAGATAGCACGGGGCCCTATATAAGCGATCGTGTGGACCCTCTGCCCTCCGAGGCGCCAGAGCTCGTTAAAATTTGCATGCAAGGTCAGTTTAGGCTTAAATGTAGGCTTGCACCCTGGCTTACCATGTAATATAGATAAGAAATTACATTGGTGACAAAGCTTCTGCTGGCTTCAGAGCACCCAGGGTAAACCCTAGTCTTATATAATTACTAGCCAGGCACTGAGAGTCTAAAATACAGCAAAGCTGTCAGCAACACAGATCCTAAATTAATTACTTCAAATACAGCACCTTCCGCGTTACAGCCTCACATGACAGGCACTGAAGAAGTGGGCCTTACGAGACTTATGCTCAACATAACATAATTAAA